TAGACAACTAGGCCCCGCCCAGGACCGTAGGCTCCGCCTCATTCACGGTAAAAGGTTGGACTCAGGTCCACCCTCCTACAAATACCCTAGCCCTCAGGCCCCTCCCGCTTGGAGCCAACTTCTGCTCTAGCAGAAAGCTAGGCCCAGGCTCCTGTTTTGCCTCTTCCAGGCTAGGCCCCATCCGTGGGAGAAGTCTAGGTTTCGCCACTAGCGGAAGGCTTTGGATTTCATCCTATCCCATAAACACCTACCCCATGGCTCTGTCTTCCTCCGTAGCAGAAGGCTGGACACCACCGTCTCAGCCGGCTGGCCCCGTTCCTTAGCTTCGTCTCTCATTCTTAGCAGAATGGTGACCCCACCCCATTGCTCCAGTCCCGCCCCTAGCAAAAGGCTGGACTCTGCCCTACCCTACAGGCTCCATCCTGTATGGCTCCTGCCTACATCCCTCATAGAAGTCTGGAGTCTCTCCCAGCCCACAGATCTGCCCCATCCATAGCAAAAGGTTGGACTCCTCCCCAGCCCACCAGTGCAGGATCCATCCCATTCCATAGATCCGCCCCTCACAGAACTTTACTCCGGGTTCCAGCCAGTAGCCCCTACCCTTAGCACGCTCCACCCTACCCCTCAGGCTCCATCCACCCAGGCCCAGCCCAGTACTAGGCTGGACACCCTCCCCAGGCAAGGCCCAACCCTCCTCTAATGACTGGACCCACCCTAGCCCAGCCAGGCCCCGCCCCGGCGAGTAGGCCCCGCCCACTCTTCCCATTGCAGGACTCCCTGGGGCACACAGGCCCCGCCCCCGCCTCAGGCTCCCCCCACCCAGCGCAAGGCTAACCCCTTCTCTGAAGAGGCACCGCCCCACCCCGCCTCCTCCAGCCCCGCGGCCCGGCAGCCCTGTGCTTCGGGCCTGGTGTGCACAGCCTCACCATGAGCTCTTCTGCAGCAAGCCCGCTCTTCGCACCCGGCGAGGACTGCGGCCCCGCGTGGCGCGCGGCCCCCGCGGCCTATGACGCGTCTGACACACACCTGCAGATCCTGGGCAAGCCAGTGATGGAACGCTGGGAGACTCCCTATATGCATGCGCTGGCGGCGGCTGCTGCCTCCAGAGGTACTCTGCCAGAGGAAATTGAGGCTGCAGCTTAGCAGTGCAGGAGTTCCCGTGCATGCTGCATGCCTCAGTTTCCTTGCCTGAGGGACCGAGCTGCCTTAGCTGGGAAGAGAAGGTTGTTGGCAGGAGCAAGCAAGAGGCGCAGGCTCCAAACTGGAACTTCCTCTCCCGAGGAAAACTTCTACTTCCCGGGGCTAGGTTGGAGGGTGGGTCTTTAGACCACAGCCTTGAGTGGAACTTAAAGACAGAGTGGAGGGGCGTGGGACTTGTGCTGGTCGGGAACCTCCGAGTCTCCCCGGCTGTTGCTAAGAATAGCTTGGGAAAAGTGAGCAGACAGGCAGCTGTCCGGGTGCTGTAGTCCTTAACTTCTGGAAGAGGGGTGGTGTCTGGGGCACCCCAGCCTCAAACAGGGCAGATGGGCAGTGGGCTTCAAAGTTCACCCAGGGCAAATGAGGACCTGGTATCAGGTGTAGAATGAAACATGGAGAGGCTGCAGGTGTCGGGTTTCCAAGCCAGGCTTGGTCCTTTCTAACCCCAACAGATTAGGGCCATAGCACAGAGAGCGTGGGCAGGGGCTCAGAGTCCAGGGATCCCTGGGCCCAGGCCCAAAAGCAGTGGCCAGTCCCTGGACTCCCAGGCTCGCTGCTCTGACTGGCAGCCGGCCAGAGCCCACACTCTTCTGTTACTTTGTTCTGTCTGTCCATCCACATGGTCCTGCTGGCTGGCTGTCCTTGAGGCATGTGTGAGCCAGGCCTCACATCCAAGTCCTCCTCCCCCACCGAAGCCAGCTGTCATGTTTTGTCCCCCTAGGGGGCCGGGTCCTGGAAGTGGGCTTCGGTATGGCCATTGCAGCGTCCAGGGTGCAGCAGGCCCCCATAGAGGAACACTGGATTATTGAGTGCAACAATGGAGTCTTCCAGCGTCTACAGGACTGGGCCCTGCAGCAGCCACACAAGGTACCTCTGCCACTGGGGTGCAGACTGGGGGTAACCCCCAGGGCTGGGAGACCATGGGGGCCCATGTGACCCCCCCAACCTCTCTTGTCCCTCTCCTCTCCAAGGTTGTTCCCTTGAAAGGCCTGTGGGAGGAGGTGGCACCTACACTGTCCGATGGTCACTTTGACGGTGAGGCTGCTCTGGGAGCCTAGCAAAGGGGCTGAGCTGTGGGGACCGCGCTGCCTCTGGGTACTTGGCAGCCTGGGTCTGCTCTTGCATGACTATACCCTGTCTAGCTTGGAGGAGCTTGCCATCAAGAATGATGACTAGAGTTTGATCCCCAGGATGTATGTAAGGAAACACTGGGTGTTTACAAGTTGTCCCCACTCCAACAAATGCACCTCCAATGTGCACTGGGGACATAGCCATGGGGAAAAGACTCCATGAGTGGGGCTAGCAAAGGCGGTGAGGGCGGCTGTGTGGGCTCAGTTAGCTAGCAGAGTCTGGCCTCCAAGGCCATGAGATGGGTCTGATGAGGTTGGGCAAGGCTGTGCTAGCCCTGACTAGCAGGCATGTGTTCATACTGCAGGGATTCTATACGACACCTACCCACTGTCTGAAGAGGCCTGGCACACTCACCAGTTCAACTTTATTAAGGTGGGGCTGCAGGGCCAGGGATTGTGGGCCTCGGAAGGTCAGGTGGGCAGGGCATGTGACATCTGCAGACCAGCTGCTCTCTTCCCGTGGTCCCTCCACCCCTTCCTGTCCACCCGCCTCTCGTTGCAGAATCATGCTTTCCGCTTGCTGAAGCCCGGGGGCATCCTCACCTACTGCAACCTCACGTCCTGGGGGGAACTCATGAAGTCCAAGTACACAGACATCACCACCATGTTTGAGGTATGCTACCTGATATCAAGTGGGGGGTTGTACCCCAAAGCCTGGCCGTGGCCCAGGGCAGGTGGTTGTTGAGATCCGTGACCTGGGGGAGGCCCCTCTGCTCTCTGGCCTCAGGGGCCAGAGATCTTGAGAGGTCCAGTCAGTGCTGTGATTTTCCATTTTGAAATCAGGAAGGCCCCCACTAGTCCAAGCTTCTTACAGCTCCCCAGTGCCTCTGTAAAGCCCTGCCCAATGCCCTCTACTTGTGGGGCTGTGCCTGTCTTGGAGACAGATGCCCTCCAGAAGTACCAGGGCCAGCAGGACAGCTTTCCCGCCAGCCCATCAGGCATCTCTCATCACATAAGACTCTCCTCATAGCCGGGCAGTGATGGCGCACGCCTTTAATCCCAGCACTTGGGAGGCAGAGACAGGCGGACTACACAGAGAAACCCTGTCTCGAAAAACCAAAAAAAAAAAAAAAAAAAAAAAAAGACTCTCCTCTTGCTGGAGAGGCCTTCAGCAGGCCTGTCAAAGGATGCTGGTCAGAAATGCAGCCTGGGGTTATCAGCAAACTGTTGCCTGCACCAGAATTCATACTCACACCCAGGTCCTATCCCACATCATCTGGGGTGACCCATGACCCCTCCCTACAGGAGACACAGGTGCCTGCACTGCAGGAAGCTGGCTTCCAGAGAGAAAACATCTGCACAGAGGTGATGGCGCTGGTGCCCCCGGCTGACTGCCGCTACTATGCCTTCCCTCAGATGATCATACCCCTGGTCACCAAGCACTGAGCATCTGGCCCAGGGCTACAAGGAGCCTGTGTCCTCCTCAGTGCCTTTCAGGCTGGAGGGTGGGCTCTAGCCTCCCCACTGTCCCTGGAGTGTGACATCCTAACCTCTGCCTGGCACTGCCATCTTCCCAGAGCTTAGGAGTAAAATAAATGCTAACAAGAAGACTAGTAGGTTGGTTGGCAGTGAGCTGGAGGGCAGGGACCACATCTGGTTCAGAACTGCTTCTACCTCAGAGGTGGCTATGCCATCACTGGTGCTGGGTGCCCCATGCCCTACCCAGACATGACCAATCAACCACTGTTTTCAACAGGGGACCCAGGAAGAGACTGTGGGGTCTCACTAGGGTCAGGGTGGGGGAGAGCCCCCATGGCCCTCAGCCCAGCACACAGCAAGCAATGTGGCTCTCAGAGCCCTACTCTTCAAATCCCTGGTACCAAATCTGCTGCCTGAGTCCACACAGCAGCCCACCCCTGCCTGACCCTTGGAGGGCCTATTGGCCTGTACCGTGTCCAGCTCTTCACTGCAGGCTGTTGTCCTGTTGCCAGCCCCCTGGAGAGCTCTGTTCATGCCCAGCCCTCTTCCCCATAGTCTCTGCCCCGCATGCAGGACAGGGTCAGCATTCAAGGCAAGGAGCAGGCCGTTCCCTTGGTCTGGAGTCTCCGGTTAACAGGCTCTTGTCTAAAACGCTGTCCCCGAGTAGGATGTGGTGTAGCACCTGTGACCTCAGCCTTCGGGAGGCAGAGGCAGGCTGATCTCTGAGTTCCAGGTCAGCCAGGTCTACAGAGCAGGGTTCCTGGACAGCCAGGGCTACACAGAGAAACCTTATCTCAAAAGACAAAAGGCTCCTTCTGATGGCAGGCTCACCTGCCCTTCCCACATCCTGGGTGTGCTAACCTAGCCCCACTCTGTCACAGTGAGTCCTTTGAGAGACACAGGGATGAAATCTGATGCTCTGCAAGAGGGCACCATGATGGGTCTCCTCCTCTTCCTCCTCCTCCTCCCAGGAGCTGACAGCTCCTGAAGGGCAGCTGGCCAGGGATGTGTCTTCTACTTGAGAGACCTATGGTCCTCCCTTGCTTAGAAGTGGGCAGTGACTGTCCTGAGCTACACAGTAGGCAGAGGCTACCAGGCTCAGGTGTGAGCCTACACGTCCTGAGGCGGAGAGAGGCCACCAGCCTCCATTGCCCACAGTTAGGCCATCAGGGCCAGGGGGCTTCACAGAGGGTACAGGATGTGTCTCATCCTGGCCCCTGCCCACTGGGCCACAGTCCACACAGAGCACACAACTGGAGCAGGGTGGGTTTATTCACAAGGGATTCTGGGATTCTCGTGCTCAGCTTGGCAGCTCTACCTGCGGTACCAGATCTTCAGCTTCTGTTCACGCTTGATCTTCCGCTGCAGCTGCAAGATGCCGTAGAGGAGTGCCTCGGCCGTGGGTGGGCAGCCTGGGGACATACGTGGCTGAGACCACATCTTCCTCTACCAGCCCACATGGAGGACTCATGGGGACCCTGGGGCGGGGGCTGGCTTCAGAGGGATAAGGGTCCTTGCTTTGCCAGGCCTCCTGACACCACTCTGTCCCTGAGCTGTCCATGGCCCCGAGGAAAAAGGGCTAGGTTGTGACTCTGGTGACCAGCCTGGTCCTCAGGAACAGTCACGGTAACTGGACTGGACCTGGTCAGGGAGATGGGCTTGGGCCAAGGGCAGGGAGGCAGCTTGAGATTCCAGGTCTCAGAATGCCAGAAGCCTCTGAACTGAAGCCCTCCCTATTCAACTGGCCCCTGCTGCCCAGCGGTCTGCCGACAGAGAGACAGAGAACCCTACAGGGGGCAGTGGCCAGTGACTACACAGGTAAGACATACTGGAAACTTCTAGAAGACCCTGCAGCTCAGCTAAGTTGAGGCCCATCCAGGGCAGCAGAGGAAAGCTAGCACACCCAGCACTCCTGGGGAGGGTGGGACAAAGGACAAGGCATGGTACATCTGTCTCTCTGCCCTGTAGGACACAGAAGACATCAAGGTCCCCTAGCCAGGCTGGCTCTGTAGGCTGGAGGCAGTGTTTGGTGTGCTGGGGCAAGGTGGCTGGCGTGGCGGCGCAGGGTGGCCGGCCTCACCTGGCACGTAGATATCCACAGGCACAATGCGGTCACAGCCACGAACAACCGAGTAGGAGTAGTGGTAATAGCCACCGCCATTGGCACAGCTGGGGAGAGGGTGGTGAGGCGGTTCAGACGCATGGCCACCAGCCCACCCCACACCCCACAGGCTGGAATGGAATCACCCTGTCACCTGAGGGTGACAGGAGGGCATCACGGTGCAGGTCACCCGGTGCTGGGGATGAAACCTGGGGCCTCCTGCATGCTAGGCGAGCCTCTGATAGCCCAACCATCGCCCTCTTCTCCTTCTTAGCTTTTTGAGACCAGGTGTAGTTCAAGCTGACCTTGAACTCACAGAGCTACAACTTTCTCTGCCCCCGGAGAGCTGGCCACCACACAGTTTTATTTCGTTTTGTTTTTTAAAGACTGGGTTGTCTGGAGCTAGTGTCACAGGTAGTTATGGGCGTCTGTGTGGGTGCCAGGATTCAAAGGAGGACTCCCCTACAACCTCCACTGCAAGAAAAAACCAAGAGGTTCAGCTGAGGATGTGTGTGCCAGGACACTCGCCTGGCAGGCACGGGGACCTGGGCTCCATGCCTGTATTTAGTCCACAATAAGCAAGTTCTGCCTGCTGAAGAGAAAGACTGAGGACATGGAGGAGCAGCCCTGGGCTGCCGGGAGCCCTTCCTGCCTACAGAGCTGAGCTGGGGGGAAGGTGACAGCTTCAGCTGAGCACACACTCACCTCCCCATGGACACCACGTAGCGGGGTTCGGGCATCTGGTCGTACACCTACAAGACACACAGGTGAGATGCCTGCAGGTGGCCAGGCAGCAGAAGGGGTCAGGGGGACCAGACGTACCTTGCGGAGCGCAGGGGCCATCTTGTTGGTAAGTGTGCCAGCTACAATCATCACGTCAGCCTGGCGCGGGCTGGCACGGAACACCACACCGAAGCGGTCCATGTCATAGCGGGGCGCAGCCATGTGCATCATCTCCACAGCGCAGCACGCCAGGCCAAAGGTCATGGGCCACAGGGAGCTCTAGAGGACACAGACAGAGGCTAGTGGCTGCCCTAGGCCCAGGACTCTGGGTAGCACCCATTCCAAGCTGCTGCTTTGGCCATCATAAACAAGCCCTCTTGCTGTCTTTGGCCTTGTTCTCCTGGGATTGACTGGCTGCCCTCAGTGTCCTCTGTCCACAGGCCCTTGAGCTCCTTTCTCACGGGTTCAGCCAGCCTTGCACCTGTGTCTGGTCCCAGCAGTGGGCACCTTGTCCTGGCAGCTTCAGGCTCCAGTGGGATACGCCCAGAGCCCTAGGCACAGCACAGGACAATAAGGCATGCCTGTCAATGGGCAATTGTCAGACACATGTTGTCACATCCAGGCATGGGAACCAAGCACAGCTGCCCAGCAACTGTGAACTAGCATCAGAATACACACGAGAGGGACCCGTGCTGTAAGGATGACGAAGGGCAGGCACACAGAGGGACCCGTGCTGTAAGGATGACGAAGGGCAGCACACAGAACGCTCATCCGTGTTCTTTGCAGAGGACCAACAGCTCGCCAGACTGCCATGAGAGGAGTTTAAAGGGCGTTTCAAGCCTGGGCACAGTAGGGGCTTCCATCTTGGCAGGCAAGCAGAGCCCTGTTTAAGGCCTGCCTGATTTACATAGGAAGTTCCAAGGCAGTCAGGGCTATGTAGAGAGACCCTGTCAGAATCACCGCAAAACCATAAATAAATAAATAAACAAACAAACAAACAAACAAACAGGCATTTTCATCAGTGGTTGAGATGGCTCAATGAGCAAAGGTACTTGCCAGCACGTCTGACAACCTGAGTTGGATCCTGGAACCCACGTGGTGGAAAAAGGGAGCCGAGTCCTGCAGTTATCTTCTGATCTCCACATCCATGCATAGGCATGCATGTGCGTGAACACACACACACACACACACACACACACACATTAAATGAAAAAATATTTGGACTGCTGAAGGGTCCAGGTTACCCTGAGTGGAGGCTGGAGGGGCAGTCAAGCCCTTGAGAGGGAGCCCTGAGGAGGGTCAGGTCTGACAGGGGACTTACCCGGCGTGCCCAGTTGACGAGATCATCCAGCTTGGTCACCACATACTCGGCCCGGCTTCTGGGAAGATGGGAAAGCTTGGGGACCATGGCTCCAGCTCCAGCCTTGGACACGGCAGACTGTGTGCTAAGGGCAGAATAGGTGAGCACAGGGGACAGTTAGCCAGGCACCCCCAGTGTCCCATGGGGAGGGACGGACAGGATCCCAGGACAGACCCACAGCATTCCTGAGGCCTCTAAGGCCTATAAGAGAGATCAACAGAGAAAGGAGGAGCAGCCACACTTCGGAGGAGACCTGAGGGCAGGGACACGTGGGGGTGGAGTGCAAGCGCAATCAAGAATCGAAGCCCCAGAAGACAGCACACAGCCCCTTCTCAGAGCACGGTTACCTGCTCGGGCCCTCAGGGGCCACACTCTGATGGACTCTGTGCAGCTGGGCCACTGTGCCTGTGCTGGAGATGCAAACAGACCCAGTCAGCAGTTCCTCCTCACCACCATCCTCACCCAACACAGGCAGTCTCTCTGCCCACCCAGTCTCCTGCTCATCTCCAGGCTGCCCTGCTCTTTCATAGGGACAATGTTGCCACCATCCTTGGTGACAACTCAGACGTAAGCAGAACCTCTTTGCTTCTAAAACTTCCTGACTGGTCAAAAGGTTGTCAAATGTCCAAGCAAGGACGGTACTGAGGTGCTATGCTTTAAGCCCAGAAGACAGCTGGTAGCTCTCCTGGGCTGGTGACCTTCACAGACCTGTCACAAGGCAGCTAGCCTGTGTAGGCCCAGCTGGCAGGCTCACAGAACACCTTGTTTGGACAGGCAGTGCATTTCCTACAAGGGCCCCAAGCCTGTGGACAGTACTGTCCTGCTTTGCCCATTGCCTTCCCAAAAATCCCTTAAAACCATGTGAGGACACCTGGATGCCCCACTGAACCTACTGGGCAATCCCCACCAAACAGTCCCTTCCCCAGACACTGTTGGGGGACCCTCCTAGCTCCAAGTCCTGCAGCTCCAGGCTGTTCGCTGACACCCAGTTAGATCTAGCCTTATGACAGACAGGCCACACACTCACCGCAGACCCAGGAACCGTACAGAGAGCAGGCCAGGAGCTAGAGAGAGAAGCACAGAGCTCTGAGCTGTGGGCAGCAACAGCTTGGGCCCAACAGCTTAGTCTCCGGGTGGGTCCAGGTCCCTGTCGCAGTCCTTCCCTGGGGGCTCCAGAACACTCTCCCTCATATCTCTGCCTCAGATTCCAAGTCACCTTCCCTTGTAAGTCATCATTTCCCGCTGCCTCCCATGTCTCAATTCTCCACTTCAGGACCCCCAGCCAGCTGCCCTTGAATAACCTGTCCTGCACCTGCATGCAGCAGGCCCTTCCCACATGGCAGGCCTCAACCCAAGGGGACATTTTAGAAGGAACAGCTAGAAGTAGGAACAGAGACATGGCAGGCCACTTGGAGGCCAGGATGGAGCCATGCCCTACAGTACTTATATCTCCATGTGCTGGGACCCTCACCCCAGCACCTCGGAATGGAATGCAGCTGTATGCACGAGCATGCCGCCCCAGCACCTCGGAATGATGCAGCTGTATGCACGAGCATGCCGCCCCAGCACCTCGGAATGATGCAGCTGTATGCATCAGCCTTTCCGGAGGCAAAAGGCTACAATGAGGTTGCTAAGATGTGCCCAGAGGTAGCAAGATGGAGACTCTTTGTACTGGCAAGTGTGAACTGGGTCTGAGGACGTACAAATGTCATCCTAGCACTTCAGAGGCGCAGTCAGGGGTCCTGCATGTCCTAGAACAGCCTGACTTACATTGGAACAGCCTCTAGAAAACCCTAAACAGAGCCGGGCGGTGGTGGCACACGCCTTTAATCCCAGCACTTGGGAGGCAGAGACAGGAGGATTTCTGAGTTCGAGGCCAGCCTGGTCTACAGAGTGAGTTCCAGGACAGCCAGGACTATACAGAGAAACCCTGTCTTGAAAAACCAAAAAAAAAAAAAAAAAAAAAAAAAAAAAAAATCTTAAACAGCATTTAAAAACACAAAACCAAACAAAGCCAACCATGGGTAGGGTACATAGAGATGAACAGGGGAGCCTCATGAGGATAAAGGGGATGACGGGGAGCTCCCGGAACCCCTGCCCTGGGACACTCTCATCTTGGACTCCAACTTCAATGAGTATAGAATACATTTCTGTCATCTGGGGCTGGGCTCGGTGGCACATTCCAGCATTCAGGAAGCAGAGGGAGGTGGACCTCTGTGAGTTTGAGCCAGCCTGGTCTATATACCACCAAGTTTCAGTCAACCAGAGGTACATAGCAAGATCCTGTCTTGGAGGGGGGAAGTGGGAGGGGTTTCATCTGGGACCGCCCATCCATGACAGAAAGATGGAACTGGGAGAGGGACACCCACCATGACATGGGGATTATTCCTGCCTCCAACACTGGGGGCTGGGATGACAGCTCCTTTCCATGTTCCTTCTTCTGCCTCAGCCCTCCTCACTGACTGGAGCCTTACTCAGGGCTACTGCTTCCCAAGGTCATGACTGCTTTGACCAAAGACAGACTACTACAGACTATACTTTCTGTCTGAGTGGTACACACCAGGCCCTGGTCTTCCCCATCCCAAAACTCAAAGCTTTGGATAAACTTCCAGCAAAGTAAATGCCCTACTAAGTGGTTAGAGGTGCAGCAGCAGGCTTCTGTTTTAACTGGCACAGGGTCTCTGTTGCATAAGCTGCCTCTAAACTCTGACCTCAGGAGAGCCTGCAGAACAGCTAGAACTACATGAAGGCACACCAGGCCTGGCTCAGACCAGATTTTCATGCTGTCATGCTGGGAATGAAATGTGGGGCCTTCAACACATTCAGTGAGAGTTTTCACCCTGGACCATGTTGGCAGGCCTCCTCCTCTTCCTGCCTTTTAACATGGTATTACTATGTATTTACAGGCCTAGAACTCACAGAAATGCCAAGTGCCCTTCTTTTGAAGCAGGGATCCAGTAGAGCCCAGGCTAGGTGCATCTTGCCCCCGCCTCCCAAGGGTTGGGATCACAGCTGTACCTCACAGTGGCTTACAGCAAACATCCCCTTTGCTGCCTCTAAGCTGGTAGTTTCTCCTTCAAATCAGACTATAGTAACGTCTATATTAACTGTCACTGCCAGGCTCAGAGCTGAGCCTGAGTGAATTCAGAAACCAGCAGTAAACACCACAAATCCATGCCCTCCACTCTTCAAGGGGTCTACATTACAGCTGGGCCAGGCACAGTGATGGGGTCTGGAACCCCGGCATGAAAGACTGCAGCAGGAACATTATGGGTTTGATAACTCTAAGCGACACAGGAACACCCTATCTTTAAAAGAAAAACTAATGTTGGGCATAAGTCTGTCATCCTAGTACTTGGGGATAGAGCCTGGAGGATCAGGAGTTCTAAGTCAGCCTCTGATACAAGAGATCTTGTTTCAGAAACAGGCATTTGGGGCTGGAGTTCTATTGGCGGGCCCTGCCTAGCATGCACCAAGCCTTTAGTTCCATCCCTGGACCTGACGGTGCACACCTGCCATCGCAGCAGTAGCGGTGAAGGCAGGCAAATCAAACCTTCAAGATCACCCTCAGTATACAGTGACTTTGAGGGCAACCTGTGACTCGTCAGACACTGTCTCTAAGCAACAACAAAACACAGATGGAGTTAGACCCGACGGCCTGGGTTCTCCCATTTCTTATGTTAACAGTGCTACCTGCTAGGCGATGTGAGGTTCCATTTAGCAACTGTCGCTCAAGTCTACCAAATTGCATTGGCGTTTAATCCCGATGCATAAAGAGAAAGACAGCCGGGCGGTGGTGGCGCACGCCTTTAATCCCAGCACTTGGGAGGCAGAGGCAGGTGGATTTCTGAGTTCGAGGCCAGCCTGGTCTACAGAGTGAGTTCCAGGACAGCCAGGGCTACGCAGAGAAACCCTGTCGAAAAAAATAAATTAAAAAAAATAAAGAGAAAGATAACAAAGCTCTGGGAGGGAAACTGAGACATCTCATCTGTTCTAGTGGCCCTAGCTGTCCAGGGCGGTGATGAAGGTGAAAGAGCCACCCTCCGGGTGGCCTGAGTGGGCCTCTTCCCTGTCCCACTCTCTGTGCTTCGGGGACATCAGGTTCCTTCAATCAGTCTCCTGAGGTTGGGAGATACACAGGCCTCAGCGTCCCCGACTACAATCTGCTGCAATAACAAGAGGCCTGGAAGTCGCTATGTAGACCAGGCAGAACTGTGTACACACCTCGGCCCAATCCTCGGCCCAATCCTAGACCCCGACACTATCGCGGGCTGGGATCTGACCTATAGGTCTTTGCGGCCCCAACGCCTCTCAATACCAGGCTTGGGCTCCAAGGTCCCTGCAGCCCCAGCTCGAAGTCCAGGACTACGCCACTACGCCACTATTCCGACCTCAGAGCTTCACTCACCCGCCAGCGCCGCCATCTTGGCCTCGGCCTTCAGACAACCTCTGCGGTCCGTCCTCCAAAGAGTTCCGGTTCTGGCCCAACGTCCAAATAGACACCTGCAGAAACCAGCACCACAATCCCAGTGGTTCCGAACCGCTTTCTACCCGGGATCGAGACCGCGCAGTGTGCGCCACTGTCCTCCTGTGACGAACGAGAAATAGCGACAAAAGGAAAAACTTCGATTGTATTCAATCTTAGGGAATAAAAAGATGAACTATACTCGTCCCTGGGTGGGCTCGAACCACCAACCTTTCGGTTAACAGCCGAACGCGCTAACCGATTGCGCCACAGAGACGACAATGCTGAGCTTTTCGTAATATAAACCTACAAGGTTTGGTTCATGAAGTGTGACGTGCGCTTGCGCACAGCAGCCATATCAGGGTGGGAGGCAGGGCGGGACCAGCACCTGACACGCGGCCGAAATAGCTCAGTTGGGAGAGCGTTAGACTGAAGATCTAAAGGTCCCTGGTTCGATCCCGGGTTTCGGCAGAGGCTTTTAGTTCGTTGATGAACCAATTGCTGGTTTGCAGGTTTTGCTTCGTTTTGACCCACAGTGTTGAATTTGTCCAATCCAGTGTTGGACTCTTAAGTTCTACTTAGATGTTAGCAACCAGTCCTACGTTCTTCGAATTGGTAGGGTTAAAGCCATTACTGATTATGAAATATAAATGTTTCATTGTGAATTATTACACACCCTCCAGAGAAGCCGGAGGATGTGTTCTTCCTCTCAAAAATCCAATATTATTATTGTTGTTGATGATGATGTTGTTAAATAACATTTTTTAAATGGTTCAGCAGTTAAGAGCATTGGTTCTTCTTTCAAAAGAATGAGGATTCAATTCCCAGCATCCCATAACCATCTAAAACTCCAATTCTTGGGTCTCTGATGCCTCTTCTGAGCACTGCAGGCACCAGGTATGCATGCAGTCAAAACACCCACACATAAAATAAAATGCAATGAATCAAATCTAGGCTTCCACCCGGCACCACAGAAACAGCATGTGTGGCTTGTCTGTCATTCCATCACTGGGGAGGTTGAGTCAGGAGAACAAGGAGTCCTTGACTACACAGTAAATTCGAGGCAGCCATGATCATGATAATTATAATGAAAATGCTAAGGGCCGGAACTATGGCTCTGTGGATAAAAGCAGTCAGACCTGCTTACTACCCGAGAGCGCTCTGCATCCCACAAGGTGGCAGGAGAGAACTGACTCCGAAAGTTGTCCTAGGCATGGGTACAACTGGCTCACGCTTTGTATTTGCATGAACAAGCACAGGAACACACACACACACACACACACACACACACACACTATCCCTGCCTCTCATCCCCAGGACTTGGCTTGGCACTAAGGGACAGAAGGGGACTATCATTTGGTAGGTAGTCAGTAATGCCTGGGTTGGAGTCTGTTTTCCCTATTTGTAAACTGAATAAAATCATATGCTCTTAGCAGCACACCTTTCCATCAATTTTCACTTCTTTATTTATTTATTTTGGGTTGTGTGTGTGGGAACATGCCTGTGTGTGTGTGTGTGTGTGTGTGTGCGCGTGTGTGTGTTACATGGCTGGATATGGCTGAAGAGAACTATGGACTAGAGAAAAGAACTTTTGGGCTTTTTTTGTTTGTTTGCTTGCTTGCTTTTGAGTCAGAGCTTCACTTTTCAGCCCAGACTGGCCTTCAGCCCACGGGCCTCTGGCTTCACTCCTACCCTGCCCACCCAGAATTTTAGATTTACAGAAAACTTACAAAGATTGTTCTGTTCTGAGATGGCCTAAGTAAGCCACAGCCACCTGAGCCATATTAGATAGTACATATTTCATTTGTGTGTGTGAGTGTGTGAGATCTACCAGTGCTGGAGGTCACCACTGCACATACTAGTCAGGTGTTCTGTGTCTGAAACATCGCCCAACCCCCACCCTTCAGTATGAAGGCAGCTTGTGTGCTGCTAGGGCACACTGACCTGGTTACCTGGATGCCCACTATACTGTGCTCCTCTCACTTTCCCCGATGTCCTTGCAATCCTGGCTCCACAAAGGTGCTGGGAACTCGGCGGCCACCATCCTGGGTGGACTGTGATTTGAGGCCAGTTTTGGTGCTGGGGTTAGATGAGGTCATGGGGTTCCCAGAATGGCACTAGTAGATGCTGTGTAAGAGGAAGAGCTGGGTACGGTGATCTATCACCAGTTACAGTGACATGCAACTGGGATCCTGACATTTGAAAGGCTGAAGCAAGCAGATCTCTGTTTTGATAGTAAATGAAATATTTTGTATCTAATAATTTGAAGCCAGCATGGTCTTCTTAGACCAGGACAGCCAAAGCTGTGTAGAGAGAGACCTTGGATAGATACAAAGAGACAGAGTGACTAAGGTAGGATCTCTGTAGAGTCAAGGCCACCTGTGTCACATAGTGTTTCAGATACACTTGGGACTAAACAATGGGAGAGGCAGCCATTATATATAGCTGTATTATAGCTCAGTACATTAGAAACACTTGCCACCAAGCCTGACTACCTACATTCCAACCACATAGGGAAAGATGACCTCTGACCTACACTCACTCAGGTGGGCACACACACACACACACACAAGTTCAAACACCCATACCCACTCCCACAACCACTTCCTCCTTCCCCACATCAGTACAGTCTAGAGAAGGGTGGGATATGGTTTGGTGGTAGGGCAAGAACAAGATTTTGGTTCATTCTCAGTACTGCAAAAGTCCAGGCAAGCCCAGGGCCTTCAACCAGCTGATATGTATTCCATGCCCAGCCTCTGATGTTGTGTCAACTGTCTCCTCTTGACCCCTGATCTACAGAAACCAACCATGGATGAGTGTTCCTTGTCACCAGGCTCCGGGGAGAACATGTTGTAGCTGTGGCTTGTGGAGGTTAGGTCAGTGTGTCTGATTGCCTGACAGATGGACAGCAGTCAGGCAGACAGGGTAGTGCTCAGGAATCCAGAGCTTCAAGGACATCACAAGAACAGGTCAAAAGGCAGATTGGGCTTCACTGATAGCTGTGGTCTGGGGATGATGGAACAGGAAGAGGAGGAGGAGGAAGGGGAAGAGGAGGAAAGGGAAGAGGGGAGGTGGATAGACAGGCGAGATGGACTTAGGGTCCCACTTCTTTAGCATGGCACAGCATCTGACACAGCATCAAAGATACACAGTACAGTCGCTAACGTGCCTGGTTATCAGCATCCTTCCATCCTGCTGGCCATCCACTGCTTCTTGAGTACGAGGAATTTGAGTCTTTACCTTGTGGTGCCTAGGCTTCCAGTGAGACACGGGGTTAAGGTCCCTAAGATACAGGTGGAAAAATACCACTAGATGGCACCAGGGAGCCGAGGGATTGTAGGAGTTTTTGGAGGGGAAGGGGAGGGAATACCAACCGGCAGAAGAAGCCTCAGGCCCATCTCTATCACGGGGGCAGGAGAGGCCTCTTACTGATTTGCATCCTCGCTGTGGGACACTGGGTATCGTCTAGGGAATGTGTCCACTTCAACTGGGGGCAATCCTGTCATACAGGCTGGCCAGTGATGCACCTGTCATCAGCTATAGGGCCTCGGATGCCCTGAATATGACCCACGTGGTGTCACAAGGTCTGAGGCCCTGAGCACAGGGCACATGAGTCATAGAGGGTGTGGGCACTGACAAGCCAGGGGTGAATGATTCATATCTGGTATCTTGGCCCCTCCAAAGCAGCCAGATCACAACCCATAGTGTAAGTCCCCAATTGTAGAAATGTGACCTCCGGACAAGCTGAAATACAAGCCATCGTCCCCCACAGGATGCAGGGCTTTTAAGGGTGTTTTAAGGTGGCCGGGCGGTGGTGGTACGCCTTTAATCCCAGCACTTGGGAGGCAGAGGCAGGCAGATTTCTGAGTTTGAGGCCAGCCTGGTCTATAAAGTGAGTTCCAGGACAGCCAGGGCTACACAGAGAAACCCTGTCTCGAAAAACCAAACCAAACCAAACCAAACCAAACCAAACCAAACCAAAAAGGTGTTTAAGGTGCTCATGGGTGAGGATGCTGCAGGCCCTGAATTTGTGGTCATTGTTTCTGTCTCCAGGATGGTCAGTGTGTGGGACCCTGAACAGCCAGGTGCTGTCTGCCACACGCCCACCACACAGGGTGTGGTGGTAGCAGCAGGACTCCCAATGAGACAAGCCTGTAGATACTGAGGGGGAACATGCGCAGGGCTCCTTGCAGTTCTGACAGGCCTCTCACTCCATCAGAGCTGTACGTGGACCAACGGCAGGTCCACTTCCCAGTGGCAACAGGAATGAATCCGAGTTCCTAGCACCAGGCCTCTTCTGGTTATTCTGCCCAGAGGCCACGACAGCAACATTCCAATACCTCAAATCCAGTGTCCTTTCTACAGGTGGTCCCTATGGGTGGCAGGACAAGCTGCAACCTGAACCAGGCCTCTGACCTGCTGGGTTCCACCTCCAATTTCAACAAAGATGGCAGAGAAGCTTGAGCCTGGAGGCCAGCAGACCATGTCACCTTGCTGTGCCATCTTGATAGGCCACTCCTGCACCCAACCTGTGTGTACCATCCTGGGACACTGTGCTGTCAGATGCAGGTGTCTAGGGTGATGCTCTGTCATCCCCATTGGGCCCGGGTCCCCATCTCATTCTGGGAGGGCCACAAGTGTTAAGGACACCAATGTGTTCCAAATCCAGCAACCAAACACCTGGCTGAGTGTCCCTATGGGTTTGTGGCTGGCTGGCACAGCTCAGCTCAGGACTGCCCACTGCTGCCAGTGGCTCCTCCCTCGGTCCTGGAAGACAGAGCATCCACACAGCAACCTGAGACTGGGCACCCAGTATGGCAGCCATGTGGGAAGCTGCCTCTTCCTGCTGTCATCCTCACCACCCTCAGCCCACAAGGTTTCAGGGGAGCAGGGGCCAGGCTAGAATGGTTTCCTGGTGGGGTGGTGGGGCCAGGCTAGAAGCTTGTGGCAGCCCTGGGTAGATTCAGAGCTTGGATGTGCAGGGACAGGGAGTGTGGGGTGGCAGCTGAGTGAAGCTGGCCTACCTGTCCTTGCAAGACTACAGGGTCAGTGAACAAACATGTCCCCACCTTCTTAATATCTCCCACCTGCAGAGATTGTTGCTATGAGGGTCCCCAACTCCTGCTCACCACACAGAAGTGGCAGAAAAGATTCCAGAAACCAAAGAGGAAATACATAAAACAATGCCAAGGAAACATGTCAATGCTTTGGGAGCTGTGTGTTCAGACCAGTCTTTCCAGAAACATCTGTAGGGCCAACACAGATTTTCCAACACCGGACATAAATGCACACGGCAGCCACACTGCCATGACCATGACACATGTGCATCCAAATGCATTTATAAACAAAAATAATTCAAAAATAAAACCAAACATACACGCATACACACACGCGCGCACACACACACACAGAAACTTCCAGAAAGCAGCTGTTCATAGATGCCAGCAGGCTTCTAGTGTGTCGTGGCAGCTGATCTCCTAGACTCAGGGCTGAAGATGCAGAACCCATGCACAGACCAAGTCGGCACACTCCTAGGCCTCTTGCTTCTAGCACATTCTTGTAGAGGCCTCTAGCAGGCCATAGACACAGTGCTGGCCAGGTGGAGACTTCGGCATCAGCGACGGCGACGGTTCCTCTCCTCCAGGAGTTCATTGTCAAAGATTTCCTTCTCCCTTCAAGAAAAAAAAAGAGACTGCCCGTGAGACTTCAGGGCCAAGTGGGCACTGGAAACTCTAGAACAACTGGCACAGTGATGCAGGCTGAGCAGTGTTCATTTATCCATTAAAGAAAACAGGCCATGAAGAAAGATGGTCTGCCACACAGAGCAGCTGACAACAATGCTGGCACCCAGTGGGGACACTGCAGTCCGGAAGCAGCGAGGGCTGCAGACTGAAGGTGAAGGCGATGGCATGGGGCACGCAGAAGACACACCAGTACGTTTGATTGTACTCAGTCTTAAACTTTCTCAGGGGACCTGGGGATGGAAAACAGGGCTCCATGCAGACAAGTGCTCTGACCACTGGGCACAGCCCCACATTGACTTTTTATGTGTGGGACAAAGCCTCACATAGCCCAGGCTAGCCTTGCTCTTACAACAGTCCTCCTGCTTCACTCTGCCCAATGACATTTACTCCTGGACAAATGGCTCAGAGACTAGGACAAGCTGCTGATCTTGCCAAGGACCTGATTTCAGTCCTAAGCACCCATCCGCAAGGTGTCTCCATAATAACCACCCGTAACTCAGTTCCAGGGGTCTAAAGCCCTCTTTTGACATCTTTAGACACGGTGCGCGCGTACACACACACACACACACACACACACACACACACACACACACACACGAACAATATGGAGGCCACAGAGTGAACATCAGGCATGGCTCTCCATCTCCATCTTGGCTCTGGAACCACTCTGAACCTGGTCTCTGCTGATTAGGGTGCTGACACTGGGCCCAGAATGCCATCCTGTCTCCACCTTCCCAGGGCTGGCATCAGCACATGCAACCATTGCCAGGCTCTCACTCCAGGCCTGGGGCCGGTCGGCAGCACCAAGCACTTTCCTGAGACAGCTCCTCCAGTGTAGACAGGCTCCTCCTCCCCGCACAAGTGCTGGGATGAGAACACTGTACTTGTGTACTTAGTATGGCGATGCCAACTTATTTTAGAGACAATGCACCTGGCTCTGGATGGAGACCCCATCTGTGACTGCCGTGGCATTCTCCGCCTGTCACTGCCCTGCCCTGCCCTGCCTGCCTCCCACTGAAGTCTGGCAGCGTGCCCAGAGGTGGATTAGAGGCTCTGGGGCCACACTTCTTAGGAGAGGCAGCTTCAACCTGCCGCCCCACTGATGGCTACACTGCCTCTTAATCTAGCTCTGTGCTCTCCGTCAGCCATGCGGGAGCAGGCGGGGCAGACGCCACAATGCTCCTCACAGGAGATTACAGGGCACTCGACAGGGCCAAGACTGTGGAGGCGGCTTTGGCCCTGCCCTAGGGTCCTGGCTTGCAGCCAGCCTGGCCTATAGAGGAACACGGCCTGGAGACCCAGGCCTTTGTCCAGTCCTTGCCTGGAGAGAAGGCCCAGCTACAGCACCTGAACCATCTGTGGACAGCAGCCTGGCAGCCCCATCCCAACAGGAGACACAGCCCAGCACACAGCCATGGGAGGACCTACCGGTAGCTAAGTGTGGGGCCTCGGATGTACTTCTGCTCGGCTGTCTTGTAGTCCACCGCCTCCACCGCAGAAATGGCACAGATAATGGCCTGTGGAGGAACGGAGGTCGGGCCACGGCTCAGTGAGCAGATCTGACACATGCGAGGCTGTGGGCTCCATTCCTGGGTCACAAGCCGGTCATGGTCAAAACCACCCCGTTTTAAAGTTACACATGGTAGTAGGTACGGTGATTACAGGGGTCAGGTATGGGGATGAGAATGTCCCGAGTACTCAGGAGGCCACGGTGTGAGCGTCTCCAGTTTGAGGCCAGCTCGAGACACCATGAGCACACAACCCTAACACTGTTTTATTTTCCAACTTATGGGAGCATGTCCCACCCACAGCAACACAGTGACGGACAGGGTACAGGTGGGCAGCTTCTTCCTGGAGCCCTGAGCAGGGACATAGTCCAAGGCCCTGCTGGTGCTGAGCATGGGGATCTGGGGCACCCACCTCAGGCAGCAGCACATCCAGGATGAAGCGGATGCGGTCTCCACTGCCACGTGCCGGCACCTCGCCATCCATGTCTCGGCAGACGCCCTGCAGGTACTCCACCACCTCATCCAGCTGCGCCTCATCCTCCAGGTATGTCTCCATGCATGTCACGTACTGATTGGAAGTCAGGAATGTCTTCAGCCAGCGTGAGGGCTTGCGGCTGTGCAAGATCGCCCGGAGGTGGCCCTCTGCACCCTTGGCCTTCACAATGTACTCCACCAGCTTCTGGTTGGCTCTATCCCGTGCAGCCCTCGAGCGGTCAGGCAGCACCTTCCTGCATGGCCGCCACTGTCCCAGCTGGCTGTCCCTTATAGGCTCCTCAGTGTCGCCCTTGCCCAGTTGAGGAAACCTGGTCCCCAGGACGTCCTGTTGGATAGACTTGCGCACAGGGTAGCCTGCAAGAGGAGCACAAGTTCACAGCTGATGGATGTCCTCACATTCCAGAGCCGACCTCAGGCTCCCTTCCCCGACCCCTTCTCCCAAGCTCCCATGCACACGAGGAGACTCTTCTGAGACCCGCTGAGGGTGTGAGCTCAGTGTCCCAGTGTGAAGGCAGCATTCCTTAGATGCCCTCAGCACACAGCTGCCCAGCTGACAAGGATGCAGGGCATGACGGCGACTGAGGTCACAGAGCTCTACAGAGGACGGACACGACACTTCAGTCCATGTTCCAAGGACAGCAGGGGACCAAAGGCAGACCCCATATTGAATTCCACACTTATACTTACTGATATCAGCAGCGTAATACTCCAAGAAAGACCCAGCGAAGGAGCCACAGCCTGTGGAGGGCACAAGAGAAGGCTGCGCTCAGACCTGAGCTCTCCTGCCCGTTGCTCTGGACTCCCGGCCAGGAGCCTTCCGGTTTGTGCTTTACCCTGCGGCAGGTCTAGGGGTGCAAGTCTGTCCCCCACCCCAGGAAGGCGATGCCAGGGTTCAGGTAACACCAGGGTCACCACAGGCCTTCAATCAGGAGGCTGTGCCTGCTCCTACCTTCTACAGACAGCACCGTTACAAGTTAGCCAGGCCATGAGGGGATGGAAGGCCACAAGCACATCTGTCTTGACCCCTCTTATCCTGCCCTCAACAGGTACCAATGACATGGCACCTCCCCACCTCACCCCACCCACTCCCTGGGGTGCAGCCCACATACCCAGCCGCACACGGTAGTCGGTGATAAGCGAGACACACCAGCCGATGGCCTGGGCAAAGTCCTCCTTGGCTCTGTCCTACAAAGCCACAAGCCGGGTATGAGTTGACTGCGTCAACCCTACAGGCACTCAGCTTTAGTTTCCTGGGCTCCCAGGCGTTAAGTGGGTGCTGTGTGGCTGTGCTCTCAGTGACTCCACTGAGGTCTGGTTCATTCAGGCTTCAGGAAGCCATTGAACTAACAATTGACCTTTTTAGTCTTTTTCAGACAGGGTCTCATGTAGACCAGGCTCTGTAAGTACCAAGGCTGGCTCTTCAATTCCTAATCCTCCTAACTCAGCTTCTAGCCACCCTCTATCTCCCCAAGTCACGTTGGGGCTGCTGTGTCCCACACCCACACTTGTGTATGTGCTCACACTCATGGAGGCCAGAGGCTGACACGGCACCTTCCCTGATCACGAGCCACTGTTTGTTGGACAGTCTCTCCCTGACCGTGGCTGGCCAGAGAGCACTGGGGTCCTCTCGTCTGTTTCCCAGGGCTGGACCACGGTGGGTTCTGGAAGCGAGTCAGACCCTCAAGCTGGCACTTGTTACTGACTGATGCATGACAAGACCGTTCTGTGTGCGTCTACAGCAAGCAGTCTCTGCCATCGCCTCAGTGTTGCTCAAGACTGCCTCTCAGAGACTCTGACCACGGCGGCTGCATGCAGGAGCCACGGCACCCAACTGCACAGGGTACACTGTCACCCCACAATCTGGTGTTTTGGTTTGAGTCAATAAAACAAAATAATTTTTCCTGGCCAGTGTGACAAAGTTATTCAGGAAAACAAGTTCAAATCCCCAGAATCACATAAAATCAGATGTGGTAATGCAGGAACGGTCCAGCACTTCTAGGGTGAGACAGGATTCAGATAGGGGAGACTCCTCAGAAGTTCAAGGGCCAGCCTAGGGTACATGGGGTCTCAATCAAGGGGAAAGAGCTGAGACCAGAGGCTGTCCTCCAACCTCCACAGGGGTGCCTTGGACACACCCACCTTCACATCTGTGCATATGTGCACACACACACACACTCACATACACACACAAGTACCCCCAAAGCAAAGCTCCCAGTGCCAACAGGCCACCACCTACCAGCAGTGCGTGCTTTTCCTTGCAGTCAAAGTGCTTGAGCCGTCGCAGAGACACGGTAATTCTTGACAGAGCAGAGGCCAAGGTGAGCACAGGTGGCCTCAACCCAGGAGAGGTACCCTGAGACTTTTGTTTTGTTTTGTTTTTTGGTTTTTCGAGACAGGGTTTCTCTGTGTAGCCCTGGCTGTCCTGGAACCCACTCTGTAGACCAGGCTGGCCTCAAACTCAGAAATCCGCCTGTCTCTGCCTCCCAAGTGCTAGGATTAAAGGCATACGCCACCGCTGCCCAGCCCCTCTCTGAGACTTAACCCTGCTCTAGGCTGTAGCACCTCCATAGCATTGGGAGCCCAGGTCCCTACTCCAACCAGCCACCCTGGGTACACACAGGTGCCCAAGGTCACCTTCTGGAAGGTACCTGAGGGGGCTCTGAGGCCACTGTGGCCAGCTCACATGTGTTGCTGATGTGGGTGAGGACCCTTAGCCAAACTGGCCAGATCCAGTTCACTCAGAACCATGCTCTGCTGAAGCTCTGCTCTGGTGCAGCATGCAGGGACAGCAGGTCTTGGCTGCTGGTTCTAGCTATCTGGCTGAGACACAAAGTGACCCTGTGGACTCTGGACCGTGTCGGCAGCTCCAGTCAGGGGCACCACCACGGTCTCCCACTCCTGCCCATACCCGAACTATAACATCACTAACCCTCGGCCCTTGGGGTTCATGTTGCCCTCAATGAAGAGCACGCTGGCCTTCCTGTCTCTCCGCCGGACGCTCTTGACCTGTGGGCAGATGGGGACACCGCAGCATGAACAAGAGGCAGAGTGGGAGCTCCCCACCTCCAAGGCCCTCTCTAGGACTGGGCCTTACCACCCTAGTGTTGGGGTGGAATGTGTGTGACCCCACTGCTTCCCACGGCTCTGTGGTATTATGAGGTAGAATCCACAATTCTCCCTTTGGGTCTTGGCCTTAAATCCTTGTATGTGCATATGTGCAGGGGTGCATGTGGAAGTCACAGGTATCACCGTGACCTGACTTGAAATGAGGCCTTTGTTAGTGCAACGACACATTTCAGACACAGGGTCTAGAGGGTCCTGCTGTGTCTGCCTCCATCTTCCCAGAACGCAGGCACACTATAGTCTGGCTTTCTGTGGGCTCTGAGAGCTAAACTCAGGCCCTCATTCTAACACAGCCAGAGACTCACAGAGCAGACCCAAGAGTCTCCCATAGCCCAGGCTGGCCTTCAACTCTGTGTGGCTGATGATGACAGGTGTATGCCACCACACCAAGCTCCTATCTTGGTCTCTCTGTAACCAGTCCTGTCTCTGCCTGTGCCTCCCTGCCTAAATACCAGGTAACTGCCTCTGGGCTGAATGGAATCTATTCAGAGGTGGGCACTAAAAAAAACACGGAATCCACGGTATGCGGCTGACCCAGTCCACCACGGGGCCATGAAGCAGTGAGCCTGACAAGCCTCTTCCTCAGCAGGACAGATGGTCCCCAAGACACCAACCCTCGGGTCTAACCCTGTGCCTGGAGACTGTCGGACCAGTAACCTATCAGCCCCATGGACACACTGGAGACAAGCGATCGTGAGAAAACACACCAGAAAGGCGAGGACGGGGCTGAGGGAGGCCACCCAGTATCCCTGAGCCAGCTTCCCTCAGCACTTAGCAAGCTGCTAACATTCTGTCTGCTTTTACCCCAGGTCTTCTGTCTCTGTCCCTCTGCTCTGTTCCTCTTTTGGAATGGTATTGAACTCGCCATCCTTCTTTCTGCCTTACTTCCCAGTGCTGGGTTGACAGGCCCGTGGCACCACACACAGCCAACATTCTAGAATTAAACACCTGCACCACTTGACAAAACTTAACTGGTGGCACAGCACCCATCTAGGGCCAGAATGTTCCAGGCCCTGGTCTCCACCTTTAAAGAATGCTGACAAGAGGGTGATGGGAGGCACACCTTTAATCCCAGCACTTGGGAGGCAGGTGGTGGACTTCTGAGTTCCAGGCCAGCCTGGTCTACAGAGTGAGTTCCAGGACAGCCAGGGCTATACAGAGAAACCCTGTCTTGAAAAACCAAAAAAACAAAAAACAACAACAACAAAACAAAAAACAAAAAAACAAAAACAAAAAATCACAGACAAGACATAAATCCACTAAATAACCTAGCTGTGCGGACAGCATCTGTGATAGAGGAGTGGGGACAGGCCCAGAGGAGATGACTGGGAACGCAGTGTCTCCACCTAGAGAAGCCCTCACAATAGTCACAACGCTGGGAACATGCAGCTAAGGGACTGCCCTTGGGGCAGACTCACAGGCCACAGGACAGACCTTCGGTGCAACTGAGAGACATTTGGAGACAGCTCTCATGTAGCCCTGGCTGGCCGCTAACAATCTCCTCATCTCCCTGCCTCAGCCTTCTGTGTGCAGGGATGAGTGTGCCCGCCCGCCCGCCCGCCGGCACCACCATGGCCACAGCTGTCACAGGACCTACGTTCAGGGGTTGAGAAGGAGGCGGCTTGGTACCTTCACTCAAAAGCTTAGCAGCACACTGCTCAGAATCCCTGAGGCAGCTGGGCATGAATCTCACCCAGAATGCCATGTGAAACGACACTCATCAAATGACCAGGCCCTGCTGCTGAGGGGCTCTGTACTCAAGGCTGAGTCATTAGCACCCGAACCTTCCAGCATTAGCAGAGCTACCAAACTAGCTGCTGGAGCAGAACTGGCCTGAGGAGGAGGGACCTGCCCACAGCAGGCGGCAGGTGCACTTACCACGGCTGGCCAGAATGGGTATTTTTGGTATTTAAGCCAGACCAGCATTCCTACTTCAAATGATCGTGGTTCTACAATTAAAAGAAAGGGGGAAAAACCCAGGATGAGTCAAATCTGCCTCACACAAGTACAGTACAGACAGGAGGACAGTGACGCTCATACTCAGCACTGCGCTGCTTACACACAACTCTAACCTCATCTGCCCAGGACCCCAGACGCACGGTGGACAGACGCACAGAATGGCGTCTCAGTGCCCACTGTGGGTCAAGAGGCCATGAGTGTGTGTCCAGTGCCCTGTGACAAGAGACGAAGCCAGAAGGAGTGGGATGGAGGAGTTGCATCTCAAGCCCCACCTCTCAGTCTAGTGTCCTCCAAAAGCAAACACTCAGAAGCCGGCATCCACGCCAGGAGAGGCTCCTGCCCGGTGCAGTGCCACACCAAAATGCACATTATATCATCACGAGGCTCACAGAACACACTGTCCTGTCCAGGAACAGCAAGTTCAAAGAATCTGAGAAACAGAGGCCACAAATGCAGAAAACATACATTCTTAGGGGAGGAAACACTATTCTTTGCTGCAGTTTCAGACAGTGTCTCTCTATTTACACAAGACTGGCCTGCAACGCAGAGATCCGCACAGCTCTGACTCCCAAGTGCTGGGATCAAATTACGGGATGCCGAAATCGAAGGGAACCCAGGGTCTTGTCAGTGCTAGACAAGCTCTCTACCACAGGCCACAGCCCTGCCTGTTATTTATTTTTAAGGCAGGATCTTATTACGTAGCCCAAACCGGCCTTCAATTTGTAGGGATCCCTCTGCCTCCACCTAGCTTTCTGCATAAAATTTAACATTTTCTACTTGCCAAGAATCTCAGGATGAGTGACTGGTGTAGACTGTTAAAGCTTTATCAGGAAAATGAGTAAAGAGATGGGATACCGCCATGCCTCCTGCCATGAGACCCGTAACTGAGACCCGTAACGGCTCCCCAGGGCTGGGAGGCACTTGGGGAGGAGGTGACAAGGCTCTTAGGAAGGTGACAGCCCACTCAAGAGAGCACCAAGCACCTCAGACACCCTGACAGGGACCTCCCGATTGTCTTGAGCTGGTAGGTGAGTGAGGCCGTCAGCTAAAGCCTGCCACAGAAAGATGGAGACCCTGAGGTCAGGAGGCTGTGGTCCCTCTGCAGCCAGGCAGAGCTGGTCTTCAGATCTGACCCAAATGCTGAGGACTTACAAGGTACAGCTCACATCAGCACCCAGGCCCTTCTAACAGTCTAGATACTCAGCGGGACTTAGTCCAGAGTACTCGGTGGGACTTAGCCAGGGGTACTCAGAGAGCACTTAGCCTGGGAACTCATGCTCTCAAAGAAGGGAAAGGAGGTAAGATGGGGATGGAGCCGGGCTGGCACTCACTAAGAACCCTAACACTCTGCAGTCCCCTCAGTCTGCCCCACATCACCTAGGCCACATCCTTGGCCTCGATGTGCCCTACCTCAATGTGCAGCTGGCTAAGGGACAGTCCTTGGGTTCCCCTGTGGCTGAGCTGTACCACTGTGCTGTCAGTGAGCCCCGACTCACACGTCATTCTCGGCTGCACACTGCATCATGTATGTAGTACCTTTAAGGAGAACCTACAGTTCCCTGGACAGCCATGAACCCCTGGACCACTGGTAAATCAAGGACAAAAGGGCCTCCATCTTTACGCAGTGCGTGGATAGGGGACAGAGCCAATGCTGGCCTCTGTGCAGGGCTGGTTACCTCTCCCAAGTCCTCGGCCTCCATTAGACAGAAGGACACAAGGCTCTGGACAAGTCTTGGGTCAGAGCATAGAAACTGAAACAGCACCAGGTATGGAGGCACTGGACTTTCATCCCAGCACTCTGGAAGCAGAGGCAGACAGATTGCTGAGTTAGAAGCCAGCCTGGTCTACACAGCAAATTCCAGGCTAATTAGAAGTACACAGTGAGACTCTGTCTAGAAACAACAAAAAACTCTACCAGCACCAAACAACCAGCAGGATTTATGGGGTACTGCACAGGATGGACCCCTTACCCACTGTTCAAGTGCAACAGCCTCTTACCACGGTACAGAAGGATACGGGGTGGTTCCTCCTCCTCTTCCTCCTCCTCCTCTTCTTCCTCTTCTTCCTCCTCCTCCTCCAGCAGGGAGTGGATGGACTTTAACCCTGAGGAGTCTTCTGAGGACACAGGATCTGCTGAGACAGGGGACACTACTTGATGGCTACCACTTCACCCTGCAGAGGGCTAGGGACAAAGGGTCGTCATGACAAAGGACAGAGCCGGATGAGAGAACTCAACAAGGGTGCGCCCTGTGGCCTGAATTGGGTTTGTCTTTCTTTAAAAAATTTCTCCATGTTTTTGTGTTTGTGTATGCTTGTGTGCATTGTCTGCACGTATGTGTGTATGCATGTATTATGCATGCTTGTGTGAGTCTTGTGTGTATGTGCCTGCACATGTGTGCATGTGCGTGAATGTACGTTTATACAGGTATATGTGTGCACACATGTGCACTAGAGCACACATATGGAGATCAGAACTTGGAATCAGTTCTCTCCACCCTATAGGTTCTAGGGATCAGACTCAGGTCACCAGGCCTGGTGGCTATCGTCACCTACAGGGCTGTCTTGATAGCCCTCCTCCTTTACTGTCTCAGTCCTGGTACTAGGGAGAAACAAAGGGTCTTGCTCTTACCAGGCAAGGGCACTGAAGAAATATACACAGAGACACCAAGAACAGTGCAGACTCCAGGACCCCCTGCCTGACAGGGCCATACAGAGAATACGGACAATGGGCCCCAGAACCAAAAAGTGACTACAAACAAGGCCACAGACAGCCTGTCCCCAGCTACTCCCTGCAGGCCATCGCAGGTCAGAGGACAGTCCTGTCAAGGGTCTCACTGGGTCTCACATCCACCAGACCATGCACCCAACTTCTGAATCCTCCTGCCAGAGCTCAATGGGTCAACAGGTTTAGAGGGACTAACCTGGAGCTGCAGACACACACACACACACATACACACAAACACACATACACACAAACACACACACACACACACACACAAGTCTCAGTGTGACTTCCTGGCAGCTCCTGACAGGGGGCCTCCTAATCCTCTCGCTTCCTGGGAGCATGCTGTTAACTCTGCAGTGAGCAAGAAGAACAGAGCTGTGCTTAGCAGGGAGCCCTGCCTGGGTCACCAGCTGCCTCTCCAGCCCTGCCTGGCTCCCACTCTACTCAGACACAAAGACAGAACTATCTGGGAGGAGAGAAAGTCACTATACCTCAGGGAAGATGGGCAGACCTGGGGACACTATGCCTTTTACATGCAAACACCATACCCATGGTGCACCTCAGAACCCCCCCAGCAGGCGTCCCAGCCCATGGTTACCTTCCTCTGGTTTGCCACTGTCTCCAGGATGGCACGGTGTCATGGCCGCCCCAGAACAGCTCCTAGGGGAGGGTGCTGTCCCCACAGTTCTAGTCCCCAGCTGCCTGGTGGGTGGGTTCTGGCCTCCATTCAAGCGTGGCCTCTTTGTGGGGAGTCGTCTGCTTCTCTCAGGGGCCAGGAGCAGCCCGACGCTGCCCAATGACTCGACCCACTCAGCGCCTTTGACCCCGGCACAGGGCTCGCCATCCCAGGTTTGGGAGGGCAGCCTAGGTGAAGCTAGGGCCATACAGCTGCTTGCCTGTCCCTCACTCTCTGTGACACTTTCTCCCTTGGAAAGGCCAGACTCTGTTCTTCGACGCCGGGTAGGTCTGTCTCCCAAATTCCTCTGTCTCTTTTTGGTTGTGCTTTCCTGCCTGTGATCTAGCTGAGACCCAGAATCATCATCTTCTCCAGTGGGGGCAGCCACTTCAGCTCCTCGGGCTCCATTCTCTGAGAGGTCTGTCTTGGGGCCCACTTTGCACCTGAGATCTTCTTCAGACACAGACAACAGCGACAGGCTTTTTGGACTGCACTCTGACCTCTTCCTAGATGCGCACTGGGCTGCCGCAGCTTGGCCATCTTCACTGAAGAATGATGGACAAGGAGCACTGGAGACCTGCAAGGCCACATCTGCATCTGGCTTCTCCTTCTGAGACAGTGTGGTTCCATCTTCTATTGGATGACTTTCAGGATTCAAACTGGTCCTCTCATTCAAGACATCCAGGGCCACGCGCAGGGAGCGTCGGTAAGTCAGCTCCTCCAGTGGAGTAGCCAGAACTTCACTCTGAGAGGCTGTGGGGACAAAGCTATGCAGTGAGGGCTCCACTTGGGTGCCTAGGGCTCCCGATCACAGCCATGGAGCAACAGACTGAGTAACATCTCCATCCCCAGATGAGTAGACAAAGCTAAAGGACAGACGGCTGTACACTCACTCAGGGCACAGGGGAGCAAGGACAGAGGTCAGGTTCCGTGCTGCTGCCTCTGTGTCATCCGCAGGTGCTCTGGGTGAGATGACTTAAGATAACAGACCCAGACTGGGCTCAGCCTAACTGGCTAAATGCTAAGTCCCTCCACATCCTAGAGCACCATTGCATATCTGGATGTCTCAGGCAAGCAGCGCTCTTTATCTGAATGGGATAGTGGGGACGGCTTCACACTTGCTAGGCACACCACCTTTCTCTATCAGACTCACACTTGGCAACTGCTTAACAAATACTAACTCAGAAGCAGGCAGCCTCCAACCCTCAGGCCTGCACAAGGATGCCCATACACAATAAGCAAGGCGGTCAGCACAGCCTGCTGCTGCCCACAGCCTGCTGCTGCTGGTGCAGCCTCAGACCCCTGGGGAGGAAGAAGTCCTTGCTTCCCCTGGGCTGGGCCTGTCTTTGCTGCTGTGACTCACTCTAAGGAAAGAAGCTGCTAAGGCCAGCCTCTGCTGGGTGGTGACCGTAGGAATCCAGAACCCTCGTCACATATTCCTGTGCCAGGTCTGGAGCGGGCGCACAAGAAGTCTAGCTCAGCCACAAAAGGAAATGGTGGCAAGTGCTGAACTGAGGCCCTACAGACAAAGGAAGCCAAGTCTCAACCGCCATGACTCACCCAGAGCACCTGCAGATGACACAGAGGCAGCAGCACAGAACCTGACCTCTGTCCTTGCTCCCTGGGCTCTTTATAATCGGCAATGTATGTGTATTATGTATATTACGTATGTATATACTGCATGCGTGTGTCTGTTTTGTCTGCACGGGTGTATGTCTGAGTACACACGCACATCTGTTTGTTATATATACATGCATGTATTATATATGTAGGCATGCACGTCTGTGTTATGTCTGCACGGGTGTATGTATTTAAGTATACATGCACATGTCTGCATGTTATGTATACATGCATGGATGTCTGCATGTGTATATGTATGTTATGTATACGTGTCTGTATATTCTGCATGTATGCATTTCTGTACAGAATGTATGCATGTCTGTCCATACGTTATGCATGCACACTGTGGTCCCAGGGACCCTTGAGCAGAGCTCCCGTTGTCACAGGCAGCAGCCCCAGCCTGTTACTTACTAGCGAGGATGCAGAGGGAGTGTCTGTGGTGTGGGCCAGCCAGGGCAAGACTCTCGCACTCACTCAGACCTCCTGTCATTCCTGACCCTGAGCCTCAGCCATTTCCATCCCCACACTGTGACTTCTGGGGTTCAGGACACATCTTCTCCTGTCCTCCACGCCCAATATAAGGCACTAGGGTGTTCCCGCCATCTAGAGATCTGGTTTGGGGCAGGAAGTCTTTGGGGCTGTTAGTTGGGGTGTGGAGGGCCCAGCTAGAGCCCAGGCATGGAGACCATGTGACCCCTGCCCCAGGCTCAAACAGGAAGACTGCTGTCACTCCCCAGCCTGCCTGGGTTGCAGTGTGAGACTCCCACTCAAAGCAAAGAAACACACACACAATATGTAGAAGCAACAATGCAGCTCAGTGGTTGCCTTCATCCCCAGCACTGCTCAAACACAGACCCACATACATGAGAGGACAGTGGTGAGAGAGCTTTGCCAAGCAGATGCACGAGGCCCTGGGCTGTCCTAGCACCCTCGGAGCAGGAAGGAGTTCAGGGTCAGCTACACAGTGCTCTCAAGACCAACTTAGGCTACATGAGATCCTGCCTTAAAAAGGGAGGGGAAGCAAGCAAATGCAGGTTTCCCTTCTGTGAGGCTCCCTGTGACAGCGCATGAGAAGAACCAGCCTGTGGCTGTGGGGCAGCATCTTGGTGGTCTGGCTGGAGCTCTTACCCAGGAGGGCGGCAATGCTCTCAATGTGCGACTTCTGCAGCGCCTCCACTGCTGAGCTCTTCACCTGGATCCTGTGACGACAATGAGCTGGTTAGCGCCAGCAGCCCGTAACCCGACTGTCCAATGTCCCTCTCAACCTTCCACTCCTCCAAAGTCACCAGGAAGGAAGGACAGGAGCAGAGATGTTCCAAGGAACGGGTACAGCCTGTCCAGGTGGGAGCTCCCTCTTGCCCATTTCTGCCCCTCTTTTAAGAAAGGAAAGGTCGGCTGGAGTTAAGAGTAAAAATAAATTCAAATTGGGACTTTCATGAGGCAAATCCGACTTTCAACTGCACAAATAACTCCTGTGTTAGGTTTCTTAGTAGCCGCAAATGTCACCAAGAGCTGTTTACAGCTCAGCAGGCACGTTTCAGTTTAAAAGGACTTGCTTTCCTTTTAAACTCAAGTATTCAATTACCTTCCCTGCCGCAGGGAGAGTGGGAAACTGGGGACTCTCTTGTGGTGGCGGGCTCTGAAGACAGTGGCAGGAAGGAGTGGGCTACGAGGGACCCAGGAGAAAAGCAGTGGATTCTTCAGAAGGAAGGACCGCACACAGGCCCACACCCACATCGTCCTTGCTGGTGACCCATGAAGGGTCACCAGGTGCAGAACAGAGTCCTGCCGCCCATCTGCCTTTCAGTATGAAAAATTCTTAGTGGAGCAGTGGGCCTGGCACAAGAGGATCAGAAACAAGTCCATGGTGGGAGCGGAGACCCCAGGATGGACCCCTGGGAATAATTGCTATCTTCTTCCCTTGAGACCCCACTCCCTACAGATCCTCTGCACCTCATGTAGTAAGACCTTCAACAATAAAATCTATTGTCCTCCCCACAAGATACTTAGCGAGGAAACAGGGAAGCAGAGAATTCATAACCCCGAAGAAGCAGGCTTCTCTTTCTTTTGTGAGAAGCGTATCAGAAACCTCAGACAGAAGGGGAAGATAGTATTAAGGGAAAACAAACAAACCATACTCACTTTTCCTTTAGCGACAGGATTTGGACATCTAGAAAGAATTCCTTTTTTCTCTTGTTTTTTGCTGAAGTTTCAGTTCTGGCCAAAACCTAAGTGTAAAGAAAGAAAAATAAAAAAAACAACTCTTGTTATGGTGGTGGAAGAACAGACAGCATCGAGCCACTCCCGGGCAGTAGCCACAGACATAACAGAAGCCTGAGATCCTCACTCGGCCACAGCAGGGCCGAGCCCACGGCCTTCCCAGGATAGGGCAGGAACTGCTCACACTCGCTTGCTAGAAGAACCCAAATACCACAGTTATCCCCTGTATGGGGCTCCTGGCGAGGCACTCCCTGTGCTCCCTGTGGTCACTGCCTTCTGAGTCTTTTTATAGCTCTTTTTTTTTTTTTAGGTGTTTTTTTTTTTTTCCCTTAGTGTGAAAAACAATTAAAGACAATTCTGGATATAGGACCTCCTAAGTACCAGACCAAAACGCCAAGGAGTAGAGGGAGCCTGGGCCTCGTGCCAGCAGATCCGGGGGCCAAGCATTCAGAGTGCTCTAAGGGAGCAGAGCCTGATAAAGACTTTATTGTCACCAAAAGTCATTTCTAATTCCCCAAATTAAGAGAATAAGGGCTGTCACCTTCGCAGGCCACAATCGCTTCTCCCATCGGCAAAGGACATACTTGGCATCCGTCATGACTCAGAGTGTCTGGGCTCTCGGTGCTACAGGCCTTGACTGATGCCAAAGGTCCCTGCAACAAAATGTGCTTCAGAAAGGTGCTGCTTGCATTGAGTGAGGGCAGAGGCTAGCCTCACATACAGCTTCTAGGACACAGGTCAATTCAGAGCCTGGCCTTGAGACGCTGGGCAAAAAGCCAAGTGATAGTCAAGTGCAGGGCCCTGGAATTTGAGGAAATGCCTTGTTTTCTGTAAATAAAACTCAACAGACTCCCTCCTCAAGGTTGCACGCAGACTATTCTGACAGGGCACACACAGCAGCAGCGTGGGTTTGGAACAAGCAAAGCTCACAACCTTCCCTGCCTCAGGCCTAAAGGGTGGCTGCAGCACACAAGACACTCCACATACGAGGCTACCCCATTCCCTGGAAGGACAGGGGCAGATGCAAGACTCACATGGACATGACACCTCTGGCAGAAGCAGCCAGGGCTGTGGACAGAAATGGAAAGATGGGGGAAGGGGACCAAAGCAGCAGGAAGGACAGCAGGGACAAGAAGGAAAGAGACCAGCAGTTGATGTGGTAGAAGGGTTCACAGAAGGAGAGGATTTCCAGAGTTGGGGGAACAGGGTTCCCAGCAAGGGTGGGACCTCACTAAAGCAGGGTGGGGTTTCAGGAGGCAAGGCGGACTCTGCAGCAGTTATGGGAGTTCAGGTAGCAGGGACTGGGGTTTAGGCAGCAAATATGGGGTACACTGCAAGGGAGGAGGTTCAGGAAGGAGTCAGGTAGAAGAGGTGGGGATTAAAGCAGGAATCATGCCCACAGATGTGGGGAAGTTCAGGAAGCAAAGATGGGGTTTACACAGGAACTGAGATTCAGGCTGCAGAAACTTGAATTCAGAAGGAAATACGGGGTTTACAGCAATGAATGGGAGGTCAGGCTGCAGGGAGTGTGAGCCATAGAGACTGCATTTCTGACATGAAACTCGGGGTCCACAACAGGGATAAGGTTTGAGCAGCAAATTGGGGGCTTAGATTGCAGAGAGGGGATCCAAAGGTAAGAAATAAGGCAGGAAATTCAGAATTTTCAGCAAGGACACAGATTCAGGCTGCAGAGTGGGAAAATGTTGGGTTGATATTGCAGAGGTCGGGGTATCGGGTTAATACGGGGCTTCCAGCAGGAAACTCGATGTTTCAGCAGGGACACGGGTTCAGGCTGCAAAGAGGGGGGATAAGGTAGGAAACTCAGGCTCGGGTTGCAGTAGAGAGGTATAAGGTATAAGGAAAAACGGGGTTCGGGCTGCAGAAGATAGGGATCAGGCCGGAAATACGAGGCTCTCAGCAGGGACGGGGGCTCAGGCTGCAGAGAAGGAGATTCAGGTCAGAAATATAGGGTTCGCAGCAGGAAACTAGAGGTTCTCAGCCCCAAGGGCCTCGGCCGCACGTGGGCCCTGCGCAGAACCAGACGCGGCCCAGCGGGTCTGGCCCAGCCGCCGCCCTTCCCCAGGCTCTCCGCCTGCGCCCCGCCCGGCCCTCCCAAGGCCGCAGCGGGCTCACCCGCCCCCAGCCCGCCTGACGCGGCGTCCGAGCCTGAGCGACCAGGCCGCGGCGGTCCCAACGGCGGAAGCCCGCCCGCCAACCGCCGCCGCAAGCCCGCGCGCTCACCGCCTCCGCCGCCGCGCAGATCCCCGCGGGCTGGGGGCGGGGCCTGCCTCACAGCGACGCCGAGCCCCGCCCACACCACCGCCCAATGGGGGCCGCGTACCTGCGCCTCGGCCCCGCCCCACAAGAGCGCGCGACCTCTTGTGGGCCACGCCTCAGCCCACCGGTCCCGCCCTCCACCGCCTTCCCTCCTGCCCAACTTGTGGAGCGCTCAGCGAGGGCTCCCCCTGGGCCCGAGGCAGAGTAGACCCCGAAGCCCGCTCCAAGCCCCACCCCCCGCTGCTGGCCAATAAGAAGATGGATCTCACGTCTTGGTCCCCACTGCGGTCTCACTAGGCCACGCCTCAGCCCATAGTCCACGCCCCAGTTTTCCCACAGCCTATGGCGGTTTCTGAGGGCTAGAGCGGGCCTCGCAGTCGGCTTCCCGCCTGTGAGCCGCTGTGCGAAGACAGAGGGGGTTGGGAAGACAAGGTCTTTCGAGCTCCCAACAGGCTTCTAGTACCTTCCAGCTTCCGGGGCGATCCAGTGAGGATGCCCGTGTCCTGGAGTGGAAATAGGGTGTGAGAAGACCTCCTACCGAGGTCCCCAAGCGTCACCAGCGAATGGGAGGGAGGGGCTGCATCCAAGACCTCCACGGACTTCTCTGGAACTGGAAGCTTCCAGTTTGGCTGCCGACAGTGTTTTGGTTTTTTGAGACAGGGTTTCTGTGTGCAGCCCTGGCTGTCCTGGAACTCACTCTGTAGACCAGGCTGGCCTCGAACTCAGAAATCCGCCTGCCTCTGCCTCCCAAGTGCTGGGAATAAAGGCGTGCGCCACCACCGTCCAGCGATTATTCCCATTTTATGCGCACTGATGTTTGTCTACATGCATGTCTGTGAAAGTGTCAGATCTTAGAGTACTACGGGAAGTTGTAAGCTGCCACGTGGTCGCTGGGAACTGAACTCAGGGCCTCTGGAAGAGCAGTCAGTGCTCTTAAGCACTGAGCCATCTCTTCAGCCGCTAAGAGTTTTTTTACTATGCTTATTACAGATGGAGAGAGAACAAGTTTGTTGGCCACCGGTGAGATAACAGGCCTGCACTGAGTTTCATTAGCATGGTGGCCTGTGCCCCAAGTTCCATGGGGTCGAGCCCAAAAGCTCTAAGGCAGTTCTAAGATCTGGCAGCACTGCCCAAGGGGGCTGTGTGTGTGCTACAGGGGGCAGTGTGTGTGCTACAGGGTGTGTGTGTGCTACAGGGGGTGTGTGTGCTACAGGGGGCAGTGTGTTGCTACAGGGGGTGTGTGTGCTACAGGGGG